GCGACTAATTGAAGTTTGTCTATGGATTAGAATATCTCAGAAACAAAAAAGCAGATCTGTATACTGTAAGCGAGGGAATTGTTCAGCATTTCATCCCCTTTATAATCAGCTATCATTTATAATTTATATTTAATATTATTAATCTTGCCCTGTTGAAGTTTTAACTCCTATCGTGTATTCTAAAGCACACACGTCAGTTTTTTATTTATGAAAATTCTCAGAAATGGGGCGTTTTCAATCTAGAGATCAATAATATTTGTCTATTTGATAATACGGTTCTAGAAACTCGTGAACAACCATTTTCTTTCCACTTGAATCGTAAAATAATTTGATCAGTAATTAATACACACCGTTTGGGGTGAACCTCACCACTAATATCTGGAAATTACGAGGTAATTTAGGCTAAACTGCCCAAGATTTTTGAAGGCACGCTTTTTTCGTCGATTTTGAGATCTAATTATCTTATAATGCAAGAGGAAAGTAAATGGATATAAATGTGTTTTTAGTACCTCATTAAATAAAAAAAGTTGATAGATCTCGATTTGAAGTTCACTGTAAGACAACGGGCTGGGAGGGGGCTTTGGGGCTGAATTCCTCCCCTCCCCCAAAATGGTAAAGTACAACCATGTTTTATGGAAAAAAATTATCTCTTTAAGTATTATTGTTCGTGTAATTACATTTAAAAGGACTTTAGGAATCACTTAAACACCATTTCATATAGGTAGTTTCTTTCTTTTTTTTCCAAAGTAGATATCGTTATATTTATGGAAAAAAAACTTTCGGGCTGAAGCCCCCCCCAAAAAAAAATTAAATCCTGGATCCGCTAGTGCTGTAACATATTAAATCTTGGGTTTGTGTAATTTTCAAAGCAATGATAACCAACTGGCTGCCAGACTAGTTGTTCATTAGCATGCCAGCGCTATCTAGAGTTACTCAGTTGGTACTAGATCTATAAGATTATCTGCTCCAATTTCAATAATATTATATTAATACATTATAATTGATGTAATAACAATATGTATATTTGACTTCTGACCCATTTTATTTAATAAAATCTACTCATAAAAAATTCATAATTAATTATCTATTTTTGGTGAATATTTAAAATTTTAAATACTAAAAGGAAGTAAATATTTCTGTCATCATACTTTGAAATATTAATATATTAACAAAAATAGTCTGTCTACGACTTCTGTTTGAGTATTTTGAGTTACCTGATGTTAAAAATGCAATAATTAAAAATTATTTTTTAAGGAAATCAAATCCTTTTTTTTAAATTACTATTTAAGTGCAAGGACCACAGGCCTTATCTTAGCTAAGCCTAAAGAAAACATCTATTCAACTACACCTATTTTTGTTATAATTGTATATTATTACAATTCAGTGTCAATTGAACTATTAAAATACATATTAGAGATCAATATAACTTTTTTTTTATAGAACTTGAACAACTAATAGTTAAAAACTGATATAACAGTAGTTTCATAACAATCAAACGAGAATAAAAGGCGATATTTATTATACAACTGCTATTATATCATTCAAAATCTTTAGCAGATCATGGGCGTTATATTTATTAATCGACCAAAGAGAGTTAGCTCTATCATCAGTAGTTTGCGAACTAATTCTTCATCATTTCTTAAATCTTTTGTACTTGACAATGACGAATTGTTATTTTGATAACATATATTATAATAGTCCCTGTCCTTAAGCAAATATACTTGAATTGATGGTCCTTTCTTTCACTTTATTTTTAGAGGAATTAAGTCCCTTTCTTCTAAATAATCCACAATAAAAAGCAGTATTTCTCTAATAAATCATAGTATCACAAATCATAGGTGTTAATTTAACAATGCTCATAACATTTCAGTAGATTTCTCATCTGAGAATATGAGAAGAGGCACAAATAAACAATTTTGGGGATCTGTGATGAATATCAACAGCATCAAAATATTAATTTTTAGTCACTCATTAATTAGGGAACTTAAAAAATTCCTCAAACTGATGAAGCAATGAGAATAATACTTTGCATAGGACTATTTTGTTAATTTACGTAAGAAAGAATTATTTTTATTTTCATACAATTATTTTTTTTTTATAATGGACTGTGGCTTTAAACTTTCACTTAGGCTTTTGATAGTAGGTTAAAGATTAATCATTATATACTATTTTTAGTAGCAGAGAAGATTTTATAATTATGTTTAGTAATATTATAGCATCTTCCTTTTATAATTTAAGTATACAAATGATCACTAGTCTTATCAAAAGCTCTTTCTCCATCTTCAGAAAAAGATTAATTCTGGGACCAGGTCTTTTGAGAATAACAATTCTGTACATAAAATATAAAACAATAATGAGGACCACAGGTCTCCTGTGTTGAAAAAAAAAACATTTCCACTCATATTTACACTAATTTTATGATTGTTGTGATTATTAATTGTAACAATGCAATATTAATGGCACCTTTACAATACATACTAGAGATCAATAAAATATTGTAATATAATCTTAAACCATTTTTGATGAAATATATATAAACCAAATATATTTTTTCCCAGATATTATCTTTCTTTGATTTTAATTTTAATTCTGTTATTAATTAATTTAAATATTTAGAATGTCTATTTAACAAATCTATAATTTAAACCTTAAATAGTGAAATGAACTACAATTACCAGAGCACAACTGGCATATGCTTGCGACACTTACTTTAAAAACTCGTACTCTAATATATATCCCTTCACAATTTTTACTATCTATCCAGTAAATGATTTAATGTTTATGTTCTTACCTGGTAGAATAGGGAAAAAAAATTCTAATATGATAGTCCACAAAAATTTATTGAAAAGGGTAAAAAAAAATATACAAGGTGAATAAGATTTATAAAAAACAAACAAAAAGATTTTTATTAACAAAAATTTATTAATAAAGAAGGAAGAGATAGTCCTGGAAAGCGATGAAAAAATAACTTCAAATAGTGTAAACCATTTATTGAAATCTTATTGGCTTATGAAATAAATTAAATCAGAATTATAAACTGAAAGAAAAGGCAGAATCAACTCTTATACCAACCATCGATGAGTACAAAGCTGGAGTTTTATGGATATAATTATAATACCTTAAGCAATAAGATATTATAATAAGCAAATTTGGTGAAATTTTTGAAGGCCCCTGAGCTAGATACCAGTCTGTTTCAACAAGATTAGTAGCTCTTGGATTCCATAACAGTTTCGAGACATTATTTCTTGGTCAAATCTTTCCCAAATTTTCGATGTTTTGATACCTGGGACAGAGTACATTTTAGATTCGGTGGAGAATAGAGGCATCATTAATTTTATTAGAATTAAAGCTTGTATTTTCCTAACTATACTCTCCTAAACATTATCAAATCGGCCACCCTGCCCACATTTGCCATTAGCTTATCATATATATTACATTCCTCACACTGAATTCTGAGCATTGCAGCAAGATTGATGGGCGTGTATCTTTCGCTGATCTCGAAGCACCCTAATAAATAATTAATAGATTTACAGTAGAAGCAATAAAATGGTTTTCTTTCCATGGTAGCATGTGAAGCAATTGCGAGTCGACAAACTTACATTTACTCATAGAGACAGGCCTTACAATTTCAATGAAATCTCTCATTGAAGCTTGAAGCTTGCAATGGATGATTATATCTACTAGATGGTTCACATACTATCGACTCATTGTCAACTTATGTTAATGTAGACGATGCAATGGAAGGTGATCGGGAATGTGAAGAAATATCAGGAGCAAAAGGATATTGGGCCTTTAAAAATGTTTTAAACTCTTTATATTTTCATAGAAACAAACTTTTATTTTTTATATTTATTTATTTTCAATGACATATATAGAATATAAAGCAGTTATATATTCGATCACTATTTTTGCATATATATTGTGTCATGTGTTTCCAGTAACAGTTAAAGAATTATTTTCAGGTAACCCTAGAGAGTAAGTTTCAGGTATGAGTATGCTATGACCTCACTGGTATTGAAGTCACAAATAACAATTTTGAATATATTCCAGTGGCCGAAACTGTGGTCATGTTGGTTAATTTTTCACTGTAGTCAAAGTTTACAATTCAATAATGTGTTAATTATTCAACCTTTACAACCATGCGAATCAGAAATAATTTTCAGTACAGGTCGTTAAATATTTAATTTAAAATCAATACGTTTAGAATATAACAGTAACTAATTACTTAGTTGATTTTTTGGAAATGGATATCATTTAACTTTTTATTCATTTTAATATTAATAACATAAAAAATATAAAGATATTTAAGGTGAAGAAATAAATTAGTAAGTAATAATCTTTTTAAGGTTGATAATTAATGATACAACTCTATATATATATATTGCTAAAAATATATATTTGGGCAACTTTACCAAGCCATAGCATACTTATACAGAGATTTCTATTAGATATATGTTCTATCTAAAAGCAGTTACTCTGTCATTTGTACAAATCTCTTCACACTAAGAGACAAAATAAAACATAAGAAAAATAAAACATAATCTGAGAAAATCTCTTCTGCCACATCCAGTTCTTATAAAACTAAACTGTAGTTCATGATACTAAACATATACTAAAGATAAGAAACGATGCGATAAAAACAATAACAAAGTAACCTGACATACAACTTGATAAGATAACAGTCAGTCAGTACTACCATGCTCCGAAAATAGTGGATTACGAACTAAGATTTAAAAAAAAAATTAATGAAAGAAATAAAATGGATTATCAATTAATTTATTTTTAAAATTATGTACGAACTTAAGGACTATTGGTAGATGATTTTGTAATTGAAATTTAAACTGTAATGCTTTTTTACTTACGATTAATTTAAATTTTAGTTATTAACTAATTTTAGGAATTGAAAAACTATTAAAAAATTAATGAAATACCCACAATTGAAGACGATATTAATACTGAGTTTAAGTGGTTTGTTTTGAAAGGTTACTGTGGGCAGACATTGACACTTGAGTTGTCAATTTTCTAGTTCAATGTTATTTTAGGTCCAAAAATTAATGAAAACCCGGGGAGGTGTGACAGATTTGAAACGAATCCAGTTATGTAAACGGTAAAACATGATATTGCGTTAACCCCATTCACTTCAGTTGTAGTTACCTGTCAGTAATTTTGAAATGTCCAATAGTACTTGTAATTTCTAATAAATCCACAAAATGCATATTGATTTGCCAAATTGGATGGGTGGATTGGACAATGAACTGAAATCTATACCAATTACATCTCTTGCCATTCCAGGTAGAGTCTTATTTTATATTCCTTATTAATTTAACTTATTATTTTAATTACCTGTTTTATTGAAATCCTTTTAGCAATTTAAAATTTATGTATTCAAAATTTTTAATACTGAAGCTAATTATTAAGTTTTCAGTAAATTAAAAAAAATTCAAAGTGGGTTTGTGTATGTCAATCCTTTTCCAAAGGCCTCATACAAACTTATTTTTTACAATTAAGCCAATACCTTTTTTTTAATTAAAGACTTATTCTGATTATTATTAATTTAAATTAATAGATTCATTCATATATAATTTTAAATTTTGAGCTTAGTTTTTTTTACTTACAGGGACTCACGATTCTATGACATATACTATTACAAAAGATGCATCAGTGGCTCCTGATTCAGAAAAACTTGTTCGGCAACTAATCAAGTTCTGTGGATTCATAATACGCCCCATCGTATATAGGTGGTGCATTACTCAGACTTGTACTGTATTAGAACAGCTTGATCTTGGAATAAGGTAGAATTCATAATATATTTTTGACTAGGAAGTTGAATATGACATTTCAAAAATGTATGCAATATTAACATTTTTACAGTTTATACTTTAATAATATGTGTATTACTTACAACTCACTTATCTCGAGTTCAAACCTCTTTTTCTGAGGAAAATGCCTCATTGGGGAATATAATAATAAATTATGTGGATGAATTACTTTGGGTTCAAGTGTTTCTTGCTTTGAATCCGTCTTACCTTGCAAGCAAAGGACCTTACTCTTTCCTGATGAAAATTCTCCTAAAAGTACAAACTTTCTTTTCTCATAAGAAATGAGAAATATTTTAACCTATTGCAACAATTTTATAATTTTTTTAAGGAAATACAAATCTTTTTTTTTTTTTACCCAGTGTGTTTTTTATTTTGAGTTCTGTTGGTTTTCTTCCAACTTGTTCATTATTGAACTTTGAAATAGTTGCTACTAAAGTTGTCGAGATACTCCGATGGCAATTATTTTCATTATTTTTATCAGAATCTGTGGCTTAATCTATATCAGTTTATTAAGAAAAAGGCAACATAAATATATGATCTAAACAACTGATATAATATATACCAATTGACATATATATCGATTATATTATTATTTTACCATTATGACTTTCAGATACTTCGATCTAAGGCTTGCAACTAAAGAAGGAACTGATGGTATTTATTTTTGTCATGGTTTGTATGGAGCAAAGGTGAATGAAGTTTTTCAAGATATTAGAGATTTTCTCGACAGCCATCCAAAGGAAATAGTGATTTTAGATTCTCAACATTTTTATGCTTTTACTGATGCTGATCATGAAAATTATATTTGCTTGTTGGAAAGAATGTTTCCTACGATGTTGTGCCCTATTCCGAGAAGTATAGCTGATGTTACTTTGAACTGGATGATGCAGAATCAATATAGGGTAACATATATTCTATATGTAAAGTATACTTTATTTCAATCATAATTTTTTGTTGTATGTAGAAATTTGGTTTTATTGCTTTCCGTATATGAAGGTGTAGTTAATTTATGCAATTATGTGTACTTTTTCAGTATAACATACAAGGGAAGGCTATTCACTTATTTTTACTTTCACTTACCAAATATATATGAAAAAATATTAAGTGAAAGTATAGCGATTGTGAACATTTTCTAATTAGACTTTTCAACGGAAATACGCGTTTCGAGATCCTCTGAGTCTAAATAACCTAGTCTCCCAAAATGGTCTATGTCTGTGTTATCAGCCGAGCTCAAAAATGAAAAGTCGTTCACAACTGAAATTGCATATTTAATATTTGTATATGGCAGCGACGTTACAGTAACATTTTCATTTAAAATCAGCGACTGGAAGAGCAACATTATATTATCGATTTTAGACATTTTTACGATTTTCTCAAAAACGACTAATGATTTTGATTAAATTCTTTATATTAATGTAAAATTGAATGTTTTTTAATATAATGTAGAACTTATTCTCATTGATGTTATCAGGGCTTAAATAATTAATTTTGAAAACTTCTTTTAAAGTACCTTTAATTTTAATTTTTTTTATTTCAAATAATTAATCATCTCACATTGGAATCTGATATGAAAAATGGTTAAATATGAAATAATTCGATAAATATCTAAAGAAGTAACCTAACATAAATTTTGTATTAATAGAGAACAGATGAAACACGATCACGTAGCCGAGCTTGGCCAAAGGTTTAAGACTTCTATATTAACAAATGCAGTTTTCATAAATGTTAGCATTGATATTATTTAATGCCAAAACACCCTTTTTTTCTATTTAAAAAAAAATAATTGTATTTACCGAGGCAGAAAGAGTTTCTTAATAAATAATTTTAAGTTATTATTATTAATAAATAATTTAATTGTATTGATTACAGCAATATAAAGATTAAAATTTATATATATTTACCATTGCTTAAACAAATAAAAATACTTATAATGAAATATAAATAAATTTATGAGAAGGAGTTAGTTGAGGGTGCGGTCAAATAAATAAAAAAATTAAAATATATCTATTTAATTATTTATATATTTATCTATTTTATTATTTATCTATTTTCTTATCATGTATTTATTTTATTTTATTTATCTTTTATTTCTGTATCTGACAACTTCTTCGTGATTTATATATACTTATATTTATTTTTTATTTTATTTTTATTTTTTCAACATGTTTGTATCTTTTGTAGCCCTGAAGACGACCTGCAAAGTGGGTCGAAACGTCGGCAAAAATTAAAATTATTTATATATTTTAATTTTTTTATTTATTTGACCGCACCCTCAACTAACTCCTTCTCATATCATATCAACGGTCAACCATCTCTACATCATTATAAATAAATTTAGCTGCCTTCATTATCAGTGTCACTCATGTCGGACTAAAAATATTTCGTGACACTTGATTATTTATTATAATTAAAATATGCAATCGTTAAAGGCAATGATTAGTGAAAAAAAAACAATATAAGTAAAATACTTAAGACGGCTGTAAAAAACATATGGTAATTGATTGTTCAAAATATATTTTTAATAATAATAATAATAATAAATAATTTTTAATTTCACTCCCCTTTACCTGAAAATAGCTATTTCTCCTAAAAGAAAAATAGTAAGTGAAAGTTGTGTGAAGCGTGCACCAGATTTTTAGATTTAGTTATCCTATTTCATTCATTATAAACAATGAAATTTTTTATTTTTTTAAATTAAATACTTATTAAGAAACTGTTTCTATCTTGATAATAATACAATTATTATTTTTAAATAGAAAAAAGGTTTCGGTTTACACCCTGAATCCACTTCATTTACAAATTAGTGCATTTTTATTTTTTATTTTTTTATATTAATTTAGACTGTGACTTTTGGTTTCCTATATAGTTGCCCATCTGTTGCAGGTAATCGCTATTTACAGAAACAATCATGCTGAATCCAAGAATTTCCTTTGGGGATCAGTACTCTGGCCAACACCTTGGCCTGAGACGATGTCCACAGATGAACTCCTCAAGTTCCTAGAAAGTAGACTCAATAAAAGATCTCATAGTATTGGTTTAGTTTCTCAGTGTGTTCTAACTCCAACTAACGGTACAGTGCTTAAGTCTCCCTTTTCCGGAGTCAGGTCTAAATGCGCAATACCGTCTTGTAAAGCCGTTTTACCTTGGTTAGATCAGAAACAGCAGGGTTCTGTTAATGTCGCCATCGCCGATTTTATTCAAATTGACAATCATTCCTTTCCCTCAACTGTCATTGCTCTAAATTATAAACAAAAATTAAACAGTCTGTCCTATTAACTCAATTGTATTTTTAAAAAAATATTTAGAAAATTAACTTTCGAAATTTAAAAAATAAATTAAGTCACTCGGTAATTTCATGAATTTTCAATTTTTTGTTGATGATTAGGTACAATATAAACGCTAAAAAGTCCCGATTCTTTTCTTACACATACTTGCAAAGATAAATAACATTAAAGAAAAGAAGTGAGACCCAGTTACATCACAAGAGCAGGGACATTCTTACATCATTACATACCAGCGCCTAGTTGATAGCATTGGATATCCTATAGTTTTTAGTTTAGAATAGTGTTTCCAACTTCAAAATTTCCATACAAGAAATATCTTTTCATTTTTCTCTTACCTTGTCATCTCTCTATAAAAATACTTAGTTTAAAATGCATCATATTAGCTTTTATAAATGCATTTTAATAAATTAGAGCTGAAAAATATTTTAACAGCATCATTTTTGGCTGCCCTATGCTTCACACTACAGTGTACATAAGCCACACCTCTGAGGCACAATGTTATTGAAATTTTTAGCTTAATATGAAAAAATGTTTATTATTTTAAAAGTACAAAACACAGTCTTTGTCACTTGAATTCTATTGCAGCTCAAATTCATGCCATTTTTTTTTTTTTTCTATGCTAGTATCCAATTGATAAATTTTCAATTTAATGATATAAATTCTTTTAAATTTTATATTAAGCAGATGAGAATTGCTTATTTGTAGTTAGCAGCATTGACCAGTAGGTTGTTGCGATCATAATTGTTATTGTTCTAGGCCTTGCTTGTAATTTTTTTTCAGGAAGTACTTTTTAACAAACATACCCTTCAATAAAATATTAATTATATGAAAACACATTCCGCTTGTCCATTGCATTCCAATTATTTAATGTTCGTCTTCACGAAAAAATACAAATTTATTTCACTAACGAAACAATAAATATTACCGGAATTTTGCTTGAGTGAATAATAAATTGAAAGTTTAAAAACCAAGAAGCTATCTCTTTCAATCGTATAACACCAGAAAACTTAAAAGCTCAAGTTGTTTCAAAATATTCACAGAAACTTAAATCATTTGCTCAAAAAGTGGTTAGATACCTTCAAAGGACAGATTAAAAATATTCAATACATTAATTTGTCAATGTTTTTGCTCAAATTGTTTCAAAATACTCACAGGATTTAATTTATTAATTTCAGCTATTAAACTTAAATTTTTCTTGAGCTGTTTGCCTAAAAAGTCATCACATAACATCAAACACATTTTATACCAGAATTTGTCATTATTTATTTTTTCATGTCTTAAGGCTCTTCTGTTCTTCAAAACCATTGTTATCTTCAAATCTATTATGTCAACATAAAACCCCCTAGCTGGGGTTTTCAAAGACGTAATTATTATTTAAAGTATCATACGCTTGCTTGTAATCAGTGTGTGTAGAGAAGTGAATTTATATTCCAATCATGATATTTCCTAAGCATTACAAAATATTCAAAAAAGTTAAAGAAGTCTTTCCTTATCGACTATTTACATTCCTTATAATTTATTATATTTTCATTGATTTATAGATTGCTAATTTAATAAAGGTGGTAACAAAATTATTTATAAAATTATGACGAGTTAGTCAAAATTACTACAGAAGATTATTATTTAATAATAAATTTAGTAATAATTACTTATAATTATAGAATTATAGTAATTTAAGAGAACTACTTTTTTATAGAATATAATTATAGAAAGAACGATATTTGTTAAATAATTATTATTACTATGTTGTTAAGATTTTATTGTTGTTGTTTTTTTATGTATTTTATTTTCTGTGATCCTTTATCCATTCTGATCTTTTTTTGAAGAGATAATATAGGATCTTGTTGTTTTTGAATAATTAATTTCTTTCTCAATTGCTTTGTTTTGTCGTTCTTTCTTGTTTGTAATCATACTGTGTTGATTTTATGTAAATTTACATTCTAAGGTTTTTCTATGTTCTTAAAATATGCAATCACCATGAATATAAATAAATATTTCTGTGCACTCTCCAACATTTTTCCGGCTCACTCTACCGAATATTATCATAACAGAAGCACTAAGAAGTAATAAAAAAACTTACTTAAAATTATATTGCCAGTCAGATGTTAACATAACAATAATTATTATTATTAAACTTTGATTAAAATTAAATGTTGTTTTTAAAACGTAGTACTCCCGTGGTAATTAATAAAGTATATACCAGGTCAGCTTGCTCCCAAAATTTGGTCAGTTAGTGAATTTTGATTATCCATCCAAAAAATGAATGGACTTTTATCACTCCAATTTATCTTATTTTTTTAAAAATATTTTTGACCTTAACACTTTTGAATACAAGTCCTCTTTTGCCAATATACTACTTTCATTTTCACTACAGAATGAATCAAATTCGATCCAAAGCATAAATAACATTCTGAGTGTAACTCAATAGTTCAATGTGGTCAGTCAAAAAATATCGTCTTCATCGTCCTAATTTATTGATCATTGAAAATTAATGCCATCATCTACAGCTTCCAATCCTAATCTTATTGTTCTTTGTTTTTTGAATCTTTTACATCAAAAGTTAGCGTGTCTTGCATCCTCCAGGAATGGCCGTTTCTTTTTACTTGAATGATAAATTTATTATAAAAAAAATAACATACATAATAATATTTTTTTAAAAATCAGATAAGAGCATTATTATTTTTTTTTTAATTGTCAGTTTTATTTTTTAGAGTCCACAAAAATATATATCCACCCTTGGCTCCAGTAACTAATGGGTATCTAAATTTTATTGTTCTTTTTTTCAATTCTTTATTGAGAAATATTACAATCTGTCATTTCTAAGGACAATAGTAATAGTGATAGAATATTAGCTCATTCATGCTATGTACAATAAATAAAAAGCAAAATAATAAAACTAAAATTAAATATTTTACTGTTAAAAAAAAAAAGTTGTTTAGGTTCCTCAAAAATATATCCACTATGGACACACATTGGTCTAGTTATAGCCAGTTTCCTAACATATATTATTGTTTATCTTTAATACAACAAATCAATGTATATATGCACTATATGGTATTATAAAGTTTTAATTCTAGTCTCTAATGGCATATTTTTAGATTTGCTCAGTCGCACCAGACGTGGTTAAATTGTTTTGTTATAGGCCAGATAAACATATGATCAAATGAATATGTAAAAATTATTTATAGAATTCAATGAATGATGTTTAGCTTTCGGCCTAGGATTTTTTAATTTTATATTAGTCTAGATTTCTATTTTATAATTACATTTACTCATAATTATTTTTACTAATGAAATCCAAGCAATTTGAAGAATTACTATTCCATATAATATTAAATTGTTGGCTTTATTATTCTTTAACCATCACAATTTTGTAAAAGTTATATATTCTTGTGACCTGTTATATAATTATAGTTTATATATTCTTGTTAGTATTATATATTTGTTTTTATTTTTGTATTTTTTTTTTTATGTTTGAAGTTTATTAATTTAAGGCTTGTGATAATTTCTTATTATATTTATTGTTATTTTCTCATGCACATATATTTTTATTGTTGATAAAGGTGCTTTGTTTTTTGTTGTTTTTTATTTCAAAGTTGTTGACAGGGTTTATACTATGTGTCTTAATAGGTGCTTTAAATAGTAGTACGTAAGTTGGCTTGTTACTTAATAAACAGAAATTATACTATCAGCTTTTATCTATATTTACTCTTATTATATTTCATAAATAGAAAAATTGTAAATGATTGTCTAATTTTAAAATGACTGAATTATTTACCAAAGAAAAAAAAAATACTCTGCCCATCTTTTATTAATAGTATAAATTAAATGCTGTTATTCTAAAGATATTATACATAGTATAGATTAAAATATATTTATTATATGAAGTTAATATTTACTTTATTTAATTGAGTTTTTTGGGCATTTTCATCCTTGTATTTTCTTCCATATCATAATTAAAATACCGAACCACTAATATTGTCACCAAATAAGTATTTGTTTTACAGTAAAACTTTTATAGATTCATTAGACAAAAAATGCCCTCCAAAAATTAACAGTAAACCATCGATTATCTCGGCAAATCTATTTATGTCTTTAATTAAGTTAGCCTTGGTTTGAAATATTTTTTCATGTTCGAAAACTAAACCAGAATTGAATTATCCAATGCTTTATTTAATTGTAATTAGAACAAAAAATTTTATACACATCAAAGTTAAATAAAGTTTAGTTTAAATGTTATGATTAAAATCAGTAATATTTTAATTTTTGTTCTCTGATATGTAGTACAGGTCCTGAAATATCCATAATTTCCCATTAACAGTTGACTTTGCTTAAAATTGTTTGATTCTGTGTATTATCCTTATTTATTCCCTCAGTCTCTTAGTGTTGCATAAGAAATACAAGAGTAGGTAATGTAAAATTTTTTAAATAAAATTACACACAATAATGCCCACTTTACACAGTTTAATCATTTAAGTAAACATATATTTTTTATAATTTATTCCCTCAGTCTCTTAGTGTTGCATAAGAAATACAAGAGTAGGTAATGTAAATTTTTTTTAATATAATTACACACAATAATGCCCACTTTACACAGTTTAATCATTTAAGTAAACATATATTTTTTATAAATAGTATTATTATCCAATTTCACTTTGTGTATAACTGAATTGATTATCCAGACAAGATCTGTTATTGATTAATCCAGACAATTGATACCCTACTACAGGAGTCCCCAATCTTGTGCCCGCAAGCACCATTTTACCCGCTTTGAAATCATCTGCGCCCTCGGGCAAAATTGTGGCTGCCTGACCTAACAGTAATTATCATGGCAGTCAGTAACTGCATTACAAGTTTTCCTGTTAAACGATTTTTTAAAATAAAATATCTAATTAGTAATTAATTTGGAAACATAAATTATTTATTGATATCGTAGCAATTTAAAAATATTCCTAACTACTCATATATAATTCAGCATATTTCAATCCCAAAACGGCTTTAATATATGCACGATTACCATTTAATGAGATGTGAAAAACTAATCGAGTTAGGTG